GTTTATACCGACAGATATTTCCGCACTGGTTAACAAAATCTTCAACTGCGATGTTTGAAAGGCTGACTTAGGCTCAGTGATGAGAACTTGACGACTATACTCAATCCTGAACCAAAATCCACTTGTAGCATTAGACAGAACTTAGGGAGGGAGATTTTGGGGTCAAAATTAGAGAGCGGAAATCTTACTTGAACCCTCGACACTTCATCTCCTTATAGAGGGTCTTTTACAAAATTAGCAAAGATTCCAAAGCAAAAAAATATCCTAAATATCTGTTGAGAAAATAGTTGGAAACTAGTTGGAAAGATCCTCACTCGCGTATGCCATTAGTGTAGAACGAAGATAATCTTATTCTACTACGAACTTGGATGAAAAAATCGGCCAGTTTCGGTTTTTCGCCTTTCTATAGAAAAGTCAAACATCACGTACATTTTAAGTTGACAGTGAACACACGTATAGTTTTATCTCATGCGTAGTCATTGTTTAAGTGTGCCTCTTGAAACAAAAGCGAAAAAATATGTATACAAATTGATTTATCAAGAAAATTACGCGGATTTCATATCTTGCTGAGTCAATATCATCAGTTCTGTTCTTGACATGAATATAGTCGCACCTGTAATAAGTGGCAGTCGGTTGCCAAAGTCCCGAGTTTGTTTCTCCTTGATCACTGTAATTTTCACTTCTATTAAACGGTCACCTCTATCATGCGGTCGCGTTACACTTCGCTGAGTCCAAACGGCCTTTTTCTCTTATCTTTCACCTGTATTGAACGGTCAATTAAAGCCGAACCACTCAAATAAAACTAAGAATAATCTTTCAAGTAATTTTTGAACCATGTTTTTTCCCAAAATCAAACTGTAAGTAGTATTTTTGAGCAAAATTCTGAACATTAAGTGGCGTAAGGTGGCGCTGTTTATCGTTTTTCTGTAGTAACCCCTAACCGTATTGAGCGGTCACCTTATCATTCCCCATGAGTGACCGTTTAATACAAGTTCGACTGCACAAAGCTTAACTTGTATTTTTCCAGTGCTCTGGAAAATTAACTTAAAGAAAGAAATGAAGCATTGAGGTTTATACGACCCTTGAACTTTCAAGATTTTTGTGATTAGTAATTCGCCCTTGTAAGTACTACACATTTCTTTTTTGATGAGTTAGGAGAATTTCATGTTAAATAGAAGTGTTACCTTTTGGCTGATGAACGGTTTGTCTTCTTTTCATCGCCCGGGAAATGTACGAAATTGCGTGGAGAATCTAAATGTCAATCACTTCTGAAAGCACAAGGGGTTTTAATTCGATGGAGCCGAAAATTGAAATTTCAGCACAATTTTTCTTCTTACGGAGTAGTCGAGTAGGAATTGTTCAATAATGAATCTTTGCTGTGAAGTCTGGGAAAAAGTTGCGCGGAAACCTCATCTCACCCCTAAGTTTAGCAAAGAACAAGGAACTTTATTATTTTATTGACAGTGGACTGGCAGTATCCGTATAAAATGCGGGATGCACTTATTACTGGATTTTACTCTTTTCTTTTCTCCTAGAACAACTATAACATTCCGAAGCATCGAACGCAAGCTGAAAGATGCGCGGCAGCCCAGCTTCTTCTATCCCATAATCCACCGTGCACCGTCACAGTGGACACAATGCTAGACGCCGCTAACCTAGCTTATGGCGCAAGCCCAGAAAGATTTTATATCATCCGGGACAGTAAAATAGTCTACCAGGGAGGGCCCGGGCCCATGTCATACAATGTAAATGAAGTAAGAGCTTGGCTGGAGAATTACGCTGGAAAGCTCTCAAGTAAAGGGCGAGGAGAATGATGCAGCTACCAAACGAACGTCGTTAAATGTGGAGTATATATTTTAAACAGCCAGTCATGGCTCGTATAATAGTGTGAATCAAAAGAGTTTGTGCCCAGAGGAACGATAGCCCATCTCAGAAATTCTATCCGATTATAATTATCCAATCAATAGTGGGGCGAGCCTTTCCCAGAATGACCGGAAAGTAGGAAACGAGAACGGTACCAAAAAAACTATATTTATACCGTCGAGTCTTACTTGCCAAGTGCAATTGTCAAGAATTCAAAAGGTTTACGTGATAGACTTAAGCAAAAAATCCTTGTTACACCACGATATGAGAAGGAAACCTTGCTAGAGCAAGAATTTGTTTTAAACATTTCAAGTCTCCTTGTCATCAAATGTCGTTCTCGAATTGCATATTTCAGGAAATTTATTATTATAATCATCATTATTATTAATATTATTAATATTATTACTATTATCATTATTATTTTCACAGAAAGGAAATTTCTCAAGGGGCAATTTGAATGGGAAAAATTGTTGCTCAAAGAAGAGTCATTTATCGGGGTAGCGAAACTCCGAGCTCTGCGGGTTTTCGCCCTGCGCTGGTCAATCGTTCCTCTGGTCTGTATCCTCTCTGTAAGGGGTTCTGAGAGTGCTGTAGGTTTTAAATATGAGCAGTTAGCTTTTAAAACTGCTTCAAGACGGATTAGTAGTTTGGCGTGAAAAACTAGCCATGACTTATTTCTCGGATTTCGAAAAAATTAAGAGGTTAATATTTTATTTAGCAATCGTATTCAGAGTTGTAGATATTTAACACATTACTATCATTTCCTATGGTTCAATACTCGTTTCCCCTGAAAATTTGTTTATGTTCACAATGGCTTAAGTATTTGCTGGTATTATTGGGAAAAGGCGAAGACTACCAAGTTCCTTAAGCTACAGCAAAAACCGATCGAATTGATATGTCCAGATGTTAAGAGACTGCTAGATAATAAGGTGAAAATTAGTCAATTTTATAGACGGAAAAATTGGAAATATTGCGTTACTAATTTTATGCCAGGAAGAAGCCCATGACAATATTAGAATTCTTAGTTAATGATTGAAAAGAAATCTATAGCTAACAGTTTGAAATGATAGAAAAAAACACCAACGAGACATGACATAACCGATGGGGTATGAGGATTAAAAGACCTGTTTTTTGTTAGAGAAAGGAGGAAGGGAGAGGGACCGTGCAATATGGGGAAAGTCATTATATTTTATGCAACCCAAAAGCGCAGGGCCACAAATATTTAAGGGCTTTAGGGATGGCCATATCTCTTTTGGATCACATTAGGAGAAGGGTTACAGTTTTTTTCTGCAAGAAGTAATTTAAGGGATATAAAAAACTGGTGTGGAAAAAAAAAGAAGAAATCTCCCCCCTCCTTCCTCTCTCATCTCTAATAAATGACAGGCCCCTGCCTGATTAAATTGAAAATGACCGCAAAAGGGGAAATTTAACGAATCAGGAAGTATTTTCAACGCGAGTTATACTTCCAATCTTTAGCCCCTTGACTTTTGAGATCTGATTATTTATTCTTCTAACTTATGTTGTTACATCTCCTTGTTGGTTTGTCTAGAGAATCTGGTTTTATATCAAAACAATGTCTCTTAATATTACCAATTTTTTATTTTATTTTCATGACCTGTCTGCTTAACTGTGTAGCCAAATTGTCAGGAGAAGATAAGCTGTGATCACTTGGTAGTAAAAAAGGTTACGTCAAATCGATATATCAGCGATACGATGGCTAAAAAATGAATCTTAGTTGAACTGAAATCAAAGAATGAGAAGTATATTTAAACTAGGAAGCTCTTGTGGCATGGCCTGTGTAGGAGGAAAGTTATGACATCAAGTTGACGTTATGAAGGCTTGGACGCAAAAGTGCTTCAAGCACAACTTCTGAGCCAGAGGTTTATCAACTTCATGTGGAAACTTATTTTAGTAGCCTGAACTGTAAAGAGCGACAATGATGACCTTGCCACTAAATAAATGTTCTCTAAATAATTCATATCAAGGCCTTGTTAGTCATCAGAGATGTGGGATTTTTGGTTCGTCGTTGCTGCTAGTCTCCTTCGCAGCCTTTGCTTGGTCTCGTCACAGATCGTTCTCTCTCAGCAAAACACGCGATCTCCACGCCGTGTTTTACCTATCAAAAGGCCTATAAAGGGGAGGGAGTGACGGTAAGTAATTTTGGATTGCCTTGCGTTACTTCACTCTGTGATTGGTCTAGAAAAATCGCGCCATCATAACAACCGATCAAATACAAAACTAGAACCAATCTCAACTTGCAATTGGTCACTCGCGTTTTCCCGCGCTTCAAGCAGATTGCCTGTTTTTACTTTGAGTTTTTATTGGTTAATGATGATGTTAACCTTTCTTCTGATCGATAAGTGATAAACACAGACAATTCCGATCACTGAAACTAAACAAACTTTTCCCACAGGAATGAGAAAAATAGACATTGACATATAACGTCCAGACGTTCCTTCTTGAAAGACTATTCAAACCTTTAACTTCTTACAGAATTGAGTTCTAGAGAAATATATGTGTTCTCAGAAAAAAAAAATTCTGCATCCCTCGAATTAAGCGTACTTGGAAAAGAACGTTTGTAAATCATGGTTACGTAACAAAAGAAACCCGAAAACACCTAAATGTTATTTAACACTGACATAAATATTGACTCAGGTCACAGTAGATAAGCATTGTTTCAATCAGGAATCGAAAGGGTATCTTTCTTCAATCTTCAGATGACTTGTTGTCAGCTTTACATTAAGGCTCTCAAAATTGGTTGTTTAGAAACAAAAAACCTCAAAGACTACCTGCTTCAGTCACAGAGTCAAAACGATACAGCTGGGTGAAATCATAGTTAGTAGAGGAGACTAACTACTAACTATGGTGAAATGAACAACACCTCACATTCCAGGGAAACGTTTGAGCATAGTTAGTTAGTCTCCTCTACTAACTATGGTTTGAGCAGCAACCTCTCTAACTCTCTTTTTCTATATCGGGGACAAATTCTGCGCATTAAAAGGTAATTTGATCAAATTTGGGCAGTCGCCTCTTCTAAACACATTCTCATTTCGCTGATGACAAGAAACAAGAAACAGTGAGAAAATAAAACATTTAAAATGACCGATCACAATTTCTCTTCTCTGAAGAAGAAAATGTAAAGTGAAGGAAATGTATACGTTTAACAATAATTTCGATCGAGAAATCATTTTCCCTCCGGTCACTGTTTATTATTCAACAATATTCAGATTGAGTAATTCTATTTTTCCTACAAAACCTGTGATTCTTTGTTTTCTTAATTCTTCACCACTCACGGGACATTTTACCCGCCTTATAAATATACATGTACCATCCACGTCGCGTATTTATAAGACGTCGCTCTTGAATTAACAGATATTTAAAAGCCCAGGAGTTAGTTTTTTTTGTTTAAATGTACTAAAGACATTAATAAATTATATACCAGTCAAACATTTTTAACAAAGTTCGTTACTCTCATGACTTATTTCCGGAAGCAAATAAATCTCCTGCAGAAGGCAACGGGGCTAAACCTCCTGCTAGATCTGGAAGCTTCGTTAGGTCTGGAAGATTTTCTAAATGGGATTTGAGCTCTTGTCTGACAAGTTGAACTTTTTCCTGTTTGGCCTTGTATTCCTGAAAGAAATACATAGATAAGCAACTCCCTTGTAAAAAACAATGGTGGTTTACGACATTTATCTGAGGATAAAACTGTCTCTGTTACAGAATCTGAGAGATTTTGTGTTTGATCTATAGTTTGGTTTACCTTTAATTTTTCGTAATTTGTGTCAAACTGGAATTCAATGTAAAGGCAGCCTTCTCAGCAATGCTTGACCTTTGCACGAGGTACAGCATAGTGGCAAGTAGAAGTACATTGCAGCCACACCTGGCGTACTTTGACATAAAAAAACCAGCTTAAAAACCTTTGTTTAGTATTATATACCAAACAGTACAGACAAAAGATTTGTAGCAAACATCAGAGGAAGGAATTCAAACCTTCCAGTTGCCTTTTGCATTTGAATAGATCTGTGCCTAACCTCCCTAATCCTACTTCTTGCTTAGCACATAGTGTGTTAAGAAAGCTCTTCCTTCGGAATACTTACCTCAAGTTTTTTCTCTGATTCTGCTAGTTTATCTTTCTGGAGCTGTATAAATGCAGCCAGCATTTTGGATATTGTTGTTCTATCTTCTAGCTCGGCAGCAAGTCTACCATTATAGTCCGCCAATAATAAACAAGCTTCATCGACAATTTTGGAGAGACGATCGCCAGTTTCTTTATCTAAATCATGCGACATGTAAATTCTGTTAAAAAGACTACTTCTTACAAACATTGTTTGCTAAAATGGGAATGGACAAACTACACATAATGTACTGCCTTTACCTTCAATTTTTTCTAAAAGTGACACATCTTGGACTTCAGCTGGTAAATTAGCAATCTTTTCTCTGACAGCAGCATCTTGTGAAGCTGAGTTTTCAAGCTCCATTAATGCTTTAATTAAATCCTCTGGCTAAGACCAAAACAACAACATTCATTAGAAAATGACTGATCACAAAGTCAAGTAAACATTGTGGTTAATAATTTCTATAACATTAGACTCTAATAATGACTTCACTCAGGCTGTGGCAACATCCAACACTGTCATAAAAACAACTTATTAATGGGACTAATCTCACAAGCAAGACTGCTATAGACTGCATGATCAGTTTACCAGGATTTCCTGTTATTAATCAAGTGATAGTAGAAAAGTGTTGAGTTAATCTAAAGGATGTTTTCATCAGTACCAAGGGAAGAGCTCACTGTAAGTTTGATGTTATTAATTGGTTCATGCATGACAGCTGATTTGTTACTTTTGCCCTCATGTTCATGGCTGTAAGGCTCAAGTACAGTTTATCAACTGTTTTTTTTTTAAATCTAACTCTTCACTTGTCTCTCATACTGACTCAGGTTGTCAAAATGCCAGTCATTGTCATTGTCGTTGTCCTTTTTAACTCTTTCACACCCACAAATGACCAAGAAGTATTATAACATAGCTAGTAAATTTGTCTAATCAAATTCAATTG